TAAAATAATTTGTAAATAGACCTATATGTTTTGGCAAATGCGGCTGCTTTGAGGGCCATTCTCGAAGAGTTCTAATATCTTGTTTTCTCATTTCCGGATCAGGTGGAAGTTCCTTATCTATTCGCTTCTGTTGCGCCGGCGTTGGTGGTAATAACGTCATGATTTTCTGAAACAACAACCAAATCGATAGCGCTGTCTAGCTACAATGTGAGAATTGCAGAACTTTATGTAAGAGAATAATTCCGCAGCGTATATGTTTGTTATCCTAATGGCGTTATGCATCATTTTAATATTCTAATTAATCCTGTGTATGCTTTCTTTTTAAAGACTTCAGCAAAATCTGCAGCAAATACGGAACAGAGAATAAGACACAAACTTGCTATTTTTATCTTGAGAAATGCACGTTTCACCATCAGCGTGTTTGCCCGACGGTGCAAGATTGTATTTTTCGTTTACATACTTTCGCACTTTTTCTATAGAGACTGATAAGCGCGACACTAGGTCCTAGATACATTCTTGCACTTTAATTTTAGCGTGCAAATATTTGATCTCAAATTGCAAATGCTGTTTGACAAGCGATCTTTATAATAGAAACTTCAAAAAATGTTTAAAGAGATAAGCATTAATGAAATAATAAAGAAAATACAGTAAAGGAAAAAAAACTTAAACTTAAAAAATGTACGATTTTGTTTTACCAATTTCATAACTGATACTAATAATTTGCAATTTTTATGCGTATATTTTGATACGTCATATTTCATTTGATTAATCACGATATTGCAATGGATACATAAATGCACATTTTTTTACGTTTTATTTTTACGTCTCATATTGCAACATGATTTATCGCTAATATAAAGACGGCCTCGATTGCTCTCGACGCCACAAACGGTGTTTACCTCTTTGAAATATTTGCTTAATGAGTGACGGTGAGTCTAGTACCGGAAATAACACAAAGGCCAGTCGGAGAAAACGTCAAGAAAGGGAACGCGTACGTGACGCAATTTCATGTCGCAGGTGACCTCTTTTCAGATTATCATCAAATTTCAAACACGCATTTTTTTTTTTTGAAAGTCGATCAGTTCGTTGAATACTAATTAGCTTCCAAACTGTTCTGCGAACTGTCTTTCATTATCGTGAAACTAAATAACATTCATAAAAAAGACAGAACTTTTAGTGGCTTGAACCCACGATATTTATCGTTTTCAATTGGAATTAAAATCAGATAGATTTGATAATCATTGGTAAGTCAAATTTTCAATGTAATTTAATATTAGAAAATTTGTTATATTATAATATACATTATGCAAACATAACAGCATGAATGTCTCGATTTTAATCATAACAATTTACAAATTTTCTCATCACGAAAATCACTGACTGTATGATAAACGTAAGAGAAACTTGACATTAGAGAAAAAAGTGTGATCAAAGACCAAATAAAGTTTAATTTTGTCAGAGAATTTTTTAAAAATAAAAATGTGCTATTTATGTCACATTTCTTATATTTGTCATTCAAATTTTGAACAATTCGTGTTTTACAATCACTTACGGATTGAAAGAAGCGCAATTCGAGGTCCGATCTTAGGTATTACGACACTTACTTGCTTCTGGTGTGAAAATTGACGGAAAATTGCACAGCCGAGTGTAGTGGTGTTTGCGAAGACTGAACGTGTTGCGCTATGCAGCTTAGCTCGACAAGTAAGGAAGCACCTTTTGCGGTTTCTGTCACTCAGGATTTCTATCTGTTTGAAGCAGAGCGATTCCTCTCTTTTTCGAACTGGTGGTTCCAAGTTCCCCACTATAGGTGCGTCTTGCACGCGTCGCATAGGAAGAATGTATACGTGCACACGCTCAGGACGTGCGTGAACTTAAGTAGAGAATGCAATGTTCGTCTTGACATTTTCGTGACGAAACTTGGCCGACGTGACTAGATTGCGATTAGTATCGATTTCGATTGTTGATCCCACGCGAAAGTAGCGAGTGAGAAACATTTCGAAAAATCGCACATTATGACAAATAAGCGATCTGGAGAGAAATTTTGGATTTCTCTGCTCCAGTTATAAATCAAAATCTGACATTGATTATATAGTCATGGAATAATCTAATATAATCTGTGTATAAGTCGAATTATTGATAAAAGAATACTATTGAAGAGTTATAATTAAATACTTCGCAATTATTATATTTTTTAACTACAAGACTGACTTACAGAAAAATCAAAGTCACAGTCGCCAATATTCTTTCACAACTATTTATTTGTGCTATATTTCTAAACTTTCCGATAACGTTGCGGTTTGCGATTTGAATAATCGATGTAATATGCATCGATGAATTCGATTGCATATGTATAGAAAATTATTAGTTTCCGTAAAAATATCTTAAAAGTCATAAATTGCGCTGCGTAAGCGGTCGTAAAATTGCGATGTAAAGCTGTAAACAGCGAGTACATACAACGCACATGACTACGCAATGTCAAAGTGTGTAAAGCATAGGTCTAAGTAATAATTATACTGATGTGTTTTAATGACATTCCAATCTTTATAAGCATTAAACAATTTGCAACAAACATTAGTATATAATTAATTTTAAAAAATATCTGCAATATTCGATATTCTCTTTATTATATGTAGGATAATTAATTTTAAAAAGTATATAAAATATTGTGAAAAATATCCTTATCGCTGGCTTATTGCTGTCTACGCAAAAAATTCTGTGCAGATATATAGTTTAGTTTTACATGCAAAGTTGTATAATAAAAAATATTTTCCTAAAATTAAATAAATCTCGAAAATGAACAAAATGCAAAAAAGTGCAAGTTAAATTCACTTCGAAAGCAAGAAGACACAATAATCTTTAGATTCATTCCTTATATTTACTCGGTAATTAATACAAAATTGTACATAACAACTTGCATGACGTAACGTACAATTAATGAAAAATATGGCTATATCTTATCGACTGCAATTAGTCGAAATAATTGCGTCTGACCGCAATAACTGTTGGTAATTTTGTAACTTCACGCATTACTATTATATTGTTGTTGTACAATTTATGACGTTGTCATCATTAGTAATTGGAAATCTCATCGTTATATTTAGAAAATCGTATTTAGACGTTATTGAATTATGGAAATATTGTTTTGAGGGTCACAAAAATGCGAAGTGTTTATCGACTTGCAAAATGGTGGACTGCATTACCATATGCAACACCGCTTGCATAACATGCATCTGGTGCATTCTCTTTTCGGTATGGTACGAACTCGTAACAGTGTCGCGGATCGCGAACTGATCAATAATAATGCGCTAAAATATGTTTGTTCGGTGGCTCTAGCGCCAAATTATATCTTTTCTTTTTTAGTTTCCCAGGATTCTCGAAAAATCTTAAAAAAGTGGATTCAAGCGAATGTTGCGTGCCCAAAAAACCGATTCGAAAACACCGGAACGCGCATTTACGCGATATCCCGAAATGCGTAAAAGCTGACTCAGTTCGCGTACGATGGAGATTCAAAGATCCCTCGTGCTTCGAATGTAATCGTGAAGATGGACGAGGACATCGATCGTATCTCAGAGAGAAGATGTGCAATCGAGAATCGGGAGAATGTCGAAATGCGCGTCGATGCATGACACAGAATAGACCTACCTCGCCGATCGATAGCAAACAAAACATTCGAATCATTCAAATTATGAAACATCCGGATAGTTGCAATGGATCGGACAGCTCTTTGAACAGGAAAAACAATAATGCAGTCTGCAGCATAGACGGTGGCGAACATGTGTGTAAAAAATCTTAAAGTGGACTGTTTAAATATCTTTCAAGGAATCAAACATAAATATGGAATGTGGAAAAAA